CCCACACTCACAGAGACCCACACTCACAGAGACCCACACTCATAAAGAATCAGAGACCCATGCACACACAGAGAGACCCACAGAGACCCACACTCATAAAGAATCAGAGACCCATGCAGACACACAGAGACCCACACTCATAAAAAATCAGAGACCCATGCACACACAGAGAGACCCACAGAGACCCACACTCATAAAGAATCAGAGACCCATGCAGACAGAGAGACCCACACTCAGAAAGAATCAGAGACCCATGCAGACACAGAGAGACCCACAGAGACCCACACTCATAAAGAATCAGAGACCCATGCACACAGAGACCCACACTCATAAAGAATCAGAGACACATGCAGACAGAGAGAGACCCACACTCATAAAGAATCAGAGACCCATGCAGACACAGAGAGACCCACAGAGACCCACACTCATAAAGAATCAGAGACCTATGCAGACACACAGAGACCCACAGAGACCTACACTCATAAAGAATCAGAGACCCATACACACACAGAGACCCACAGAGACCCACACTCATAAAGAATCAGAGACCCATGCACACACAGAGACCCACAGAGACCCACACTCACAGAGACCCATAGCGACCCACACTCACAGAGACCCAGACTCACAGAGACCCACACTCACAGAGATGCACACTCACAGAGACCCACACTCACAGAGACCCACACTCACAGAGACCCACACCCCCAAAGACTCACAGAGACCCACACTCACAGAGACCCACAGAGACCCACACTCACAGAGACCCACAGAGACCCACACTCACAGAGACTCACAGAGACCCACACTCACAGAGACTCACAGAGACCCACAATCACAAAGACCCACAGAGACCCACACTCACAAAGACCCACAGAGACCCACACTCACAGAGACCCACACTCACAGAGACCCACACTCACAGAGACCCACAGAGACCCACACTCACAGAGACCCACACTCACAGAGACCCACAGAGACCCACACTCACAGAGACCCAGAGACCCACACTCACAGAGACCCACAGAGAACCATACTCGCTGAGACCCACAGAGACTCACACTCATAGAGACCCACACTCAAAGACCCACACTCACAGAGACCCACACTCACAGAGACTCACACTCACAGAGACTCACACTCACAGAGACCCACAGAGACCCACACTCACAGAGACTCACAGAGACCCACACTCACAGAGACCCACACTCACAGAGACTCACAGAGACCCACACTCACAGAGACCCGTGCAAGTCTCTAGAAGCAAGCTGGCCCCCCACAAACCGATGGCTCAATTAAGCGGCTTAGCATGGTCATCATCATCACCATCAACACAGCGTGGAGATGTCTAACGGCAGCCACAGAGACCCACACTCACAGAGACCCACACTCACAGAGACCCACAGAGACCCACACTCACAGAGACCCACACTCACAGAGACCCACACTCACAAGAGACCCACACTCACAGAAAACCAGAGACTCACACTCACAGAGACCCACACTCACAGAGACCCACACTCACAGAGACCCACAGAGACCCACACTCACAGAGACCCACAGAGACCCACACTCACAGAGACCCACAGAGACCAACACTCACAGAGACCCACAGAGACCCACACTCACAGAGACCCACAGAGACCCACACTCACAAAGACCCACACTCACAGAGACCCACAGAGACCCACACTCACAGAGACCCACAGAGACCCACACTCACAGAGACCCACACTCACAGAGACCCACACTCACAGAGACTCACAGAGACCCACACTCACAGAGACCCACACTCACAGAGACTCACAGAGACCCACACTCACAGAGACCCACACTCACAGAGACCCACACTCACAGAGACCCACAGAGACCCACACTCACAGAGACCCACACTCACAGAGACCCACACTCACAGAGACCCACAGAGACCCACACTCACAGAGACCCACACTCACAGAGACCCACAGAGACCCACACTCACAGAGACCCACAGAGACCCACACTCACAGAGACCCACACTCACAGAGACCCACCCTCACAGAGACCCACAGAGACCCACACTCACAGAGACCCACAGAGACCCACACTCACAGAGACCCACAGAGACCCACACTCACAGAGACCCACACTCACAGAGACCCACAGAGACCCACACTCACAGAGACCCACATAGACCCACACTCACAGAGACCCACAGAGACCCAGTCGTAGAGACCCACACTAAAACTGAACTGTGTTTATTCTACCACAGCCCGACTTGTGCTGCTGCGTAGAAGCGACCTTGCCATCACAAATCATAGCAGCTGAACCGAGTGGCTGATGCCATCATCATCATCATCGTCGTTGTCATCACGTGGACATTTATTGCAGCCAAATACTCTGCTGCTGACGAGACACTGAATGTTGAAACCATTCCCTGCATATAAACATTTGGGCAGTTCATCAGCAGCGTCGGTTCAAGCAGAGCCTGGCTCTGCTGCTGATGATGAGACACTGAATGTGGGACCCGGTCCTTTCAGTTAGTGTGTGTGTGTATAAGTGTGTGTATAAGTGTGTGTGAGTGGGTGGGTGAGTGTGTGGGTGGGCAGGTGGGTGAGTGTGTGAATGGGTGGGTGGGTGAGTGTGTGAGTGGGTGGGTGGGCGAGTGTGTGAATGGGTGGGTGGGGGAGTGTGTGGGTGGGTGGGCGGGTGAGTTGATGTGCGAATGAGTGGGTGAGTTAGTAGGTATGTGGATGAGTGTGCGGGTGAGTGTGTGGGTGAGTGTGTGAGTGAGTGTGTGTGTGTGTGGGTGAGTGTGGGTGAGTGTGAGTGTGGGTGAAAGGGTGAGTGTGGGTGAGTGTGAGTGTGGGTGAAAGGGTGAGTGTGGGTGAGTGTGTGGGTGAGTGTGGGTAAGTGTGCGGGTGAGTGTGTGAGTGTGTGGGTGAGTGTGAGTGTGTGTGTGGGTGAAAGGGTGAGTGTGGGTGAGTGTGGGTGAGTGTGTGGGTGAGTGTGTGTGTCGGTGTGTGAGTGTGGGTGAGTGTGCAGGTGGAGTGTGTGGGTGAGTGTGTGGGTGAGTGTGTGCAGGTGAGTGTGTGGGTGAGTGTGTCGGTGTGTGTGTGTGGGGGGGGGCACAGGTGGTGCATCAGCCAGTCATCTCAGTCGTCTCAGTCAGTCGACCCGTGGCACCTGCTGGGTCTGCCCCGTGACCTCCTGCCAGCGGGCGTTCGACACTTCACGTGGCCTCACGGTGCACATAGCCTGGCACAAGCGTCGTGGTGACGTCACCGCCACTTAGTGGCGAATGGCGGTTGTTGTTGTTGTTGTGGGTGAGTGTGTCAGTGTGTGAGTGTGGGTGAGTGTGTGCGGGTGAGTGTGTGTGGGTGAGTGTATGGGTGAGTGTGTCGGTGTGTGTGTGTGTGGGTGAGTGTGGGTGAGTGTGTGTGGGTGAGTGTGTCAGTGTGGGTGAGTGTGTGCGGGTGAGTGTGTGCGGGTGAGTGTGTGGGTGAGTGTGTGTGTGGGTGAGTGTGGATGAGTGTGTGTGGGTGAGTGTGGGGAGCGATAGTGTAGCGGTTAGCGCGCTGCACTATGAACCTGGCGACCCGGGTTCGATTCCCGCTCACGGCCAACACCAGTGACGATTATCTGAACCGGTCCCGGGCCTCCCCTAGGTCGACTCAGCCTCAAATGAGTACCTTGTGCGGTGTGTAAACATCGTCACTAGGGAGACAAAGGCGGTCGGGCGTGGTGCTGGCCACCCACCCCCTCGTGTACCGTTACCGGCCTTCATAGGTGCTCGCTAACAGCACTTGCCCCTACAGTCTGTTAAGGCTATACGGGGGATCTTTATCTTTGTGGGTGAGTGTGTCAGTGTGTGAGTGTGTGTGAGTGTGTGCGGGTGAGTGTGTGGGTGAGTGTATGGGTGAGTGTGTCGGTGTGTGTGTGTGTGGGTGAGTGTGGATGAGTGTGTGTGGGCGAGTGTGTCAGTGTGTGAGTGTGGGTGAGTGTGTGCGGGTGAGTGTGTGGGTGAGTGTGTCGGTGTGTGTGTGTGTGGGTGAGTGTGTCAGTGTGTGAGTGTGGGTGAGTGTGTCAGTGTGTGAGTGTGGGTGAGTGTGTGCGGGTGAGTGTGTGGGTGAGTGTGTGTGGGTGAGTGTGTGCAGGTGAGTGTGCGGGTGAGTGTATGGGTGAGTGTGTCGGTGTGTGTGTGTGTGGGTGAGTGTGGATGAGTGTGTGTGGGCGAGTGTGTCAGTGTGTGAGTGTGGGTGAGTGTGTGCGGGTGAGTGTGTGGGTGAGTGTATGGGTGAGTGTGTCGGTGTGTGTGGGTGAGTGTGGATGAGTGTGTGTGGGTGAGTGTGTCAGTGTGTGAGTGTGGGTGAGTGTGTGCGGGTGAGTGTGTGGGTGAGTGTGTCGGTGTGTGTGTGGGTGAGTGTGTCGGTGTGTGTGTGTGTGGGTGAGTGTGGATGAGTGTGTGTGGGCGAGTGTGTCAGTGTGTGAGTGTGGGTGAGTGTGTGCGGGTGAGTGTGTGGGTGAGTGTGTGTGGGTGAGTGTGTGCAGGTGAGTGTGCGGGTGAGTGTATGGGTGAGTGTGTCGGTGTGTGTGTGTGTGGGTGAGTGTGGATGAGTGTGTGTGGGCGAGTGTGTCAGTGTGTGAGTGTGGGTGAGTGTGTGCGGGTGAGTGTGTGGGTGAGTGTGTGTTTGGGTGAGTGTGTGCAGGTGAGTGTGTGGGTGAGTGTATGGGTGAGTGTGTCAGCGTGTGAGTGTGGGTGAGTGTGTGTGTGTGTGGGGTGGGTGAAAGTGTGAGTGGCTGAGTAAGTAGGTGGGTGGGGTGGGTGGGTGAGCGGGTAGGCAAGCGAGTGCGCCGTTTTGAGTTGCAGTGTGGGCGATCGGGGGCGAATGATCGGGCGAGCTGGTGAAAGAGCGAGTGAGACACCACAGCAAAGGACTCGGTGCCACACGGCACTGAAACCAACATCCACAGCAACTCCTGCGGTGAAATCTGTGGTAAAATATCCGTGGTAAACTCACCCTGGATCATGGCCTGGGTCTCCACTCTCCACCTCCATCTCCTCCTCCACCTCCTCCTGTCACACACAACACCATCAGCACCATTATCATCAGCACCATCAGCATCATCAGCATCATCATCAGCAGCACCATCAGCATCATCATCAGCACCATCTGCCTCATCATCAGCACCATCTGCATCATCATCAGCACCATCAGCATCATCAGCAGCACCATTATCAGCATCATCAGCATCATCATCAGCATCATCAGCAGCATCATCATCATCAGCACCATCATCAGCATCATCATCAGCATCATCAGCACCATCTGCATCATCATCAGCACCAACAGCACCATCAGCACCATCATCAGCACCATTATCAGCATCAGCATCATCAGCACCATCAGCATCATCATCAGCATCATCATCATCAGCACCATCATCAGCACCATCATCAGCACCATCATCAGCACCATCAGCATAATCATCAGCACCATCAGCACCATCAGCATCAGCACCATCAGCATCATCATCATCACCATCGGCATCATCAGCACCATCAGCACCATCATCATCAGCATCATCATCAGCACCACCAGCACCATCAGCACCACCATCAGCACCACCATCAGCACCACCATCAGCACCATCGTCAGCACCAGCATCATCATCAGCATCATCATCAGCACCATCAGCATCATCATCAGCACCATCAGCATCATCGTCAGCACCATCAGCATCATCGTCAGCACCATCAGCATCATCGTCAGCACCAGCATCACCAGCATTAGCATCATCAGCACCACCACAATCATCAAAATATGATTAACAAACGTGCACATCACACCCATTATTCACCTCAGAAGTGTAGTAAAAATGACAACTTTAACCAAGGTCAACACCGCTGCTATACCACATCACCAGCCACTACCAACACTCGTTATCAAACACATACTTTCTGGAGGTAGCAGGTCACCTTTATTTAGCCAAACGTGCAGATCACACCCATATTTGCCTCAGATGTGGAGTAAAAATGACAACTTTAACCAAGGTCAAGACCGCTGCTATACCACACCACCAGCCACTACCAACACTCGTTATCAAACACATACTTTCTGGAGGTAGCAGGTCACCTTTATTTAGCCAAACGTGCAGATCACACCCATATTTGCCTCAGATGTGGAGTAAAAATGACAACTTTAACCAAGGTCAAGACCGCTGCTATACCACACCACCAGCCACTACCAACACTCGTTATCAAACACATACTTTCTGGAGGTAGCAGGTCACCTTTATTTAGCCAAACGTGCAGATCACACCCATATTTGCCTCAGATGTGGAGTAAAAATGACAACTTTAACCAAGGTCAAGACCGCTGCTATACCACACCACCAGCCACTACCAACACTCGTTATCAAACACATACTTTCTGGAGGTAGCAGGTCACCTTTATTTAGCCAAACGTGCAGATCACACCCATATTTGCCTCAGATGTGGAGTAAAAATGACAACTTTAACCAAGGTCAAGACCGCTGCTATACCACACCACCAGCCACTACCAACACTCGTTATCAAACACATACTTTCTGGAGGTAGCAGGTCACCTTTATTTAGCCAAACGTGCAGATCACACCCATATTTGCCTCAGATGTGGAGTAAAAATGACAACTTTAACCAAGGTCAAGACCGCTGCTATACCACACCACCAGCCACTACCAACACTCGTTATCAAACACATACTTTCTGGAGGTACCAGGTCACCTTTATTTAGCCAAACGTGCAGATCACACCCACATTTGCCTCAGAAGTGTAGTAAAAATGACAACTTTAACCAAGGTCAACATCGCCGCTATACCACACCACCAGCCACTACCAACACTCGTTATCAAACACATACTTTCTGGAGGTACCAGGTCACCTTTATTTAGCCAAACGTGCAGATCACACCCATATTTGCCTCAGATGTGTAGTAAAAATGACAACTTTAACCAAGGTCAACACCGCCGCTATACCACACCACCAGCCACTACCAACACTCGTTATCAAACACATACTTTCTGGAGGTAGCAGGTCACCTTTATTTAGCCAAACGTCCAGATCACACCCACATTTGCCTCAGAAGTGTAGCAAAAATGACAACTTTAACCAAGGTCAACATCGCCGCTATACCACACCACCAGCCACTACCAACACTCGTTATCAAACACATACTTTCTGGAGGTAGCAGGTCACCTTTATTTAGCCAAACGTGCAGATCACACCCATAATTGCCTCAGATGTGGAGTAAAAATGACAACTTTAACCAAGGTCAAGACCGCTGCTATACCACACCACCAGCCACTACCAACACTCGTTATCAAACACATACTTTCTGGAGGTAGCAGGTCACCTTTAATTAGCCAAACGTGCAGATCACACCCATATTTGCCTCAGAAGTGTAGTAAAAATGACAACTTTAACCAAGGTCAACACCGCCGCTATACCACACCACCAGCCACTACCAACACTAGTTATCAAACACATACTTTCTGGAGGTAGCAGGTCACCTTTATTTAGCCAAACGTGCAGATCACACCCACATTTGCCTCAGAAGTGTCGTAAAAATGACAACTTTAACCAAGGTCGACAACGATGCTATACCACACCGCTAGCCAGGATCACCTTCATTTCGCCAAACGTACTGACCCACGCAAACATTTACCTCAGAAATGCCACAAAATCCCAACTTTAACCGCAGACACCGCTTCAATACCGCCACCAACCATCCTTCTCCACTGCTCGCCAGTCTTGATGAACGGGGGGGGGGGGCTTTCAACAGATGGTCACCGCTCCCCTTTATATGACCGTGCACCAGTGGAGAACGACCACATTCACCTCAGAAGTGCAACAAAATCTCAACCTGAGCTAAAACCACCAACCAAGCGCCGTCTCCAAAACACGGACAACGTCAATCGTCACACCGGTGAAACCGAGCTCCAGAAACGTGGAACTCAACTTTAAACCCTCAAATTAATTAACCCCTGACGAAACCCCTACGTAAATATTACGTTTTAGAACGTTAAATGAGGTGGGGGGGAGGGGGGGTCACAAGACATCTGGACCACACTGTACACAACCCACCACACAATGGCCATATGAACACCGATAGTTTACACAAAATCCAAGGCTCTCCTTAATTCAATCGAACGTGCAGATAGCGACCACATCTACCTCAGAAATGTAACAGAAATCTCAACTTTACCCGACCCCTGAGTCTCCCATTGTGCACCATAACTCACAGAGCCACACCATCACCAACACAACGGTTACTAAGCACCGAATTTTTTTTTTTATATATATATAAAGATCCCAAACTCTCCTTTATTCAACCAAGCGTGTATACAGTGACCACATTTACCTCAGAAACGTAACTATATCTCAACTTTGCCGAATCCCCGAGCCTCTTATTCTACACCATAACCAACTGGGACAGACCGTCACCAACACAACGGCCATACAAACACCGATACTTTATAAAGATCCCAAACTCTCCTTTATTCAACCAAGCGTGCAGATAGCGACCACATTTACCTCAGAAACGTAACTAAATCTCAACTTTGCCGAATCCCCGAGCCTCTTATTCTACACCAAAACCAACTGGGAAACACCGTCACCAACACAACAGCCATACAAACACCGATACTTTATAAAGATCCCAAACTCTCCTTTATTCAACCAAGCGTGTATACAGTGACCACATTTACCTCAGGGATGTAATATAAAATCAACTTCAAACAGTGGCTTTCACTTCATTCTACAACAAGCTGGACCACAATTGCCTTACAAACACCGATACTTTATAAAGATCCCAAACTCTCCTTTATTCAACCAAGCGTGTATACAGTGACCACATTTACCTCAGAAACGTAACTAAATCTCAACTTTACCCGACCCCTGAGTCTCCCATTGTGCACCATAACTCACAGAGCCACACCATCACCAACACAACGGTTACTAAGCACCGATACTTTTTTATATATAAAGATCCCAAACTCTCCTTTATTCAACCAAGCGTGTATACAGTGACCACATTTACCTCAGAAACGTAACTAAATCTCAACTTTGCGAATCCCCGAGCCTCTTATTCTACACCATAACCAACTGGGAAACACCGTCACCAACACAACAGCCATACAAACACCGATACTTTATAAAGATCCCAAACTCTCCTTTATTCAACCAAGCGTACAGATAGCGACCACATTTAACTCAGAAACGTAACTAAATCTCAACTTTGCCGAATCCCCGAGCCTCTTATTCTACACCATAACCAACTGGGAAACACCGTCACCAACACAACAGCCATACAAACACCGATACTTTATAAAGATCCCAAACTCTCCTTTATTCAACCAAGCGTGTATACAGTGACCACATTTACCTCAGGGATGTAATATAAAATCAACTTAAAACAAACAGTGGCTTTCACTTCATTCTACAACAAGCTGGGCCACAATTGCCATACAAACATCGATACTTTATAAAGATCCCAAACTCTCCTTTATTCAACCAAGCGTACAGATAGCGACCACATTTACCTCAGAAACGTAACTAAATCTCAACTTTGCCGAATCCCTGAGCCTCTTATTCTACACCATAACCAACTGGGAAACACCGTCACCAACACAACAGCCATACAAACACCGATACTTTATAAAGATCCCAAACTCTCCTTTATTCAACCAAGCGTGTATACAGTGACCACATTTACCTCAGAAACGTAACTAAATCTCAACTTTGCCGAATCCCTGAGCCTCTTATTCTACACCATACCCAACTGGGACACCATCACCAACACAACGGTCACTAAGCACCGATACTTTTTTTTACATAGATCCCAGGTTCTCCTTTATTTAACCAAACGTATGGACAGCGACCACGTTTACCTCAGAAATTTAATTAAATCTCAACTTAAAACAAAGCCTGGCTTCCCTTAATTCCACAACAAACTCCGCAACAATTACCATACAAACACCGATACTTTATACAGAAACCAGGCTCTCCTTTATTTAACCAAACGTATGGACAGCGACC